GGATAGCAAAGGCTCAGAACGAACAAAGACTTGCAACAAAAGTCAAAGATAATAAAAAAAAGTTTCTTCCAACATATAAATAACAAGAAAAAAATCAAGGATACAGTCGGTCCACTAAAGAGAGAAAATGGTAAGGAAGTAACAGGCAACAGAGAGAAAGCAGAGCTGCTTAACTCATTCTTTGCATCCATCTTCACGCAAAAAGAAACTATAGCTCAACCCACCAAAAACATAAATGTAAAAGACAGACCAGAAATAAAAGTTAAAATAAGCAAAAAAAATAGTAAGAGAACACCTGTCTGATCTTGATGAAAACAAATCACCGGGGCCTGATGGATTACATCTCAGAGTTTTAAAGGAGCTGGCAGATGTCATCTCAGAACCACTGCACCATATCTTTCAAAAATCCTGGTGTACCGGGGAACTGCCAGAGGACTGGAAAAGAGCTGATGTGGTTCCCATCTACAAAAAAAGGAAGAAAAAAAACAGACCCAGGAAACTATAGACCAATCAGCCTAACATCAATACCCGGGAAGATACTGGAAACGATAATAAAAAAATAGATCTGCCAACATCTAGAAACAAGTGAAGTAATAACTAGCAGTCAGCACGAGTTTGTTAAAAACAGATCATGCCAAGCCAATCTTATTTCATTCTTCAACAAAGTGACTAAATTGATAGACCAGCGAAATACTGTGGACATAACATACTTAGACTTCAGCAAGGCATTTGACAAAGTAGACCACAACCTACATCTTGGTAAGCTAGAAAAATGTGGGATAGATACTACCACCTTCAGATGGATTTGCAACTGGCTGACAATGAGTAGTCTTTAATGGATCTAAGTCTACATGGAGGGAAACAATCAGTGGGGTGCCACAAGGTTCTATCTTAGGCCCAGTACTCTTCAATATCTTCATTAACGACTTAGATGAGGAAACAGAAGGAGAACTTACCAAATTTGCAGATGATACTAAGCTAGCAAAAATAGTTAACACCTTAGAAGATGGGCTGAAGATCTAGATGGATTTTTACAGACTAGAACCCCAGGCCCTATTTCACAAAATGAAATTCAGTGTAGAGAAGTCCTACACTTGGATCTTGGAGTCTTAGTGGACAACCAGCTAAATATGAGCCAGAAATATGCAGCAGCAGCCAAAAAAGCCAATGCAATCCTAAATTGCATTAACAGAGGGATACAATCAAGGTCAAGTGAGGTACTAATACCACTCTATAAAGCCTTAGTAAGACCACACCTAGAGTACTGCATCCAGTTTTGGTCACCATACCATAAAAAAGATGTTGAGGCTCTAGAAAAAGTGCAGAGAAGAGCAACCAGGATGATTAGGGGACTGGAGGCTAAAACATATGAACAGCAGGAACTGGGCCTGGCTAGTCTAGTGAAGAGAAGGACCGGGGAGACAGGATAGCAGTCGTCCAATATTTGAGGGGCTCCCACAAATATGAGTGAGGGTCAGCCTATTTTCTAAAGCATTTGTAGACCAGACAAGGAATAATGGATGGAAACCGAACAAGGAGTGATTTAACCTGGAAAAAAGGAGAAATTTTCTGACAGTGAGAACAGTGATGAAACAGAAGTTGCCTTTGGAAGTTGTGGGAGCTTCATCACTTGAGATTTTCAAGAAGAGATTGAACTGCCATTTGTCAGAAATGGTGTAGGGTCTCTTGCTTGGGTGGTGGGGGTGGTGGACTAGATGACCTACAAGGTCCCTTCCAACTCTGTTAATCTGTAAGAAGTGTGAGAAACTGGAAAAGTACCAGAGCATGAAGGAAGAACTGGAGACAATATGGAAAGTAAAGATCAAAGTAATCCCAGGAGGTGTTAGCAGCACTCGGGTCTGTGGCTCCTAAGCTGGAAGACGCGTTCCAATAGATCCCATGTACTCTGTCCAGAAGAGTTCAGTGCTAGGAACAGCAAAGATCCTTCACTGAACCCACAAACTCCTGGTAGATACCCCGACATGGGAGAAGAGGACACAGACCACTCCTAGTAGTGGGAAGAGATTTTATACATCAGTTGACAGTTTATGTATTTGTAAACAGATACTAGGTATGTTTGTATGTGTGTAAGCTTGACAACATACCTTTAAGTTACATATTTAATGTTCACTGTAATCTCTCTGTCTCTGTCTCTCTCTCTCTCCACACAGACACAGACAGACAGACAGACACACACAGAGTATATATACAGTATATGTACATAGGTATACAGATAGTCCTCATCTTTCAACAGTTCATTTAGTGACTGTTCAAACTTACAATGGCACTGACTTATGTGACTTATTCACATTCTCACAGTTATGACCTTTGCTGCATCCCTGTAATCATGTGTTCAAAATTTAGAGGCTTGGCAACTGATACATATTTATGATCATTGCTGTGTCCCAACGTCATGTGATCCCCTTTTGACAGCTCTTGACAAGCAAAGCCAGATTCACTTAACAACTGGGTTACTAATTTATCAACAGCAATGATTCACTTAACAACCATGGCAAGAAAGGTCGTAAAAAGGGACAAACACACTTAACAAATGTCTCACTTCAGAACAAAAATTTTGGGTTTTTGTGTCCCAAAAATTTTGGGACTACCTGTATATGTATGCATGTATGTGTGTGCAGTATATGCTCAGTGGTGGGATTCATATTTTTTTATTACCAGTTAAGTGGCTGTGGCTAGGTAGGCATGGCTATGTGGGTGTGGTCATGTGACTGGGTGGGCATGGCTTTTTTTGCAGCCCCCCCATTTGGGGGCCTTCTGGGGTCAAGGAAGGAAAAAAAATGAGGCCTAGTGGGGGCGCACAGCACCCCCCGCTCTATTTGGAGGCCTTCTGGGCCTCAGGGAAGCCTCCTGGGGGGCGGTTTTGCTCCCAGGAAGCTTCCCTGGAACCCAGGAAGGCAAAAAATAGAGTGGGGGAGGGCTGTGCCCCCTTCTTCCATTTTTTGCCTTCCTGGGCCTCAGGGAAGCCTCCTTGGTGAAGCAATAAGAAGTGAGGGGAATCCCAGCACAGCTGATCGTAGGAACAGCTGATTGTCGGGAGGGAATAAAAAGAAATACCTTAAGGAGTGATTCGGTGGATGAGCATTGGGTGGATGGGATGAGCGAGCATCAGGCATTGGGTGGGTGGAGAAAGGGAGTGGTAATTGGGTGACCAGGTTGGGAGCGTGGCCAGCCAGAAGTTACTACCGGTTCGGTGACCCACACTGAATCCTTGCTACCAGTTCACTTGAACCGGTGTGAACCGGCTGAATATCACCACTGAATATGTTGTTACATTCCCCTTTATTTATGGGCATCTGTGGGAGGCAGGTGATATCATGTGCATTGTGTCATTGCAGAAATAACACCATATGACATAATTTCTCATGACCTGTGTGACACTACAATGGCTTTTACCAAATGCTGATAGTTCTAAGTTGGTTCAGTTAATCCAGCAGAGGTATTTAAGGGGAATGTTTATACCCTAAGGCTTTTTTTTGTTGCTTACTGTTCCTGGAGCATCACAGCCAATATTCTATTTTTATCTTTTTCCCCTTTATTTTCAACAATAACCTCAATGACCCATGAATGCATTAGACCCCTGCTCCCCGGGGGAACCTCTCGTTTCAAACTAGAAGTGGGTTTTTCCTCCTTTTTTGTAAAAATTACAGCTGAATCAAAGGATCTTAAACCAAATTCTGCTGTGAACTTTTCACGGGAATTTTTTCAAAAAGTGAAGGAGAAAATGGAAAAATGAAAAGACAGCTTATTGATGGAACGTAGTAGAAAATTACAGACTACTTAGAGGTTCAGAATCCTAAATCTCCCATAGAAGCAGAGCCTGCTCCAATCTTTAACCTCTGCCCCATTCTCATTACAATATAAAAATTCAGACGGCATCTTTTCCCAAACATCTCAAGATGCTACGCAAGGTCTTCTGAATGGCACCCAGGGCAAATGAGGAAGTTTGGGGTGCATTACAGGTGGTCCTTGATTTACAACCCCAACTGAGCCCCAAGGACATTGCAACAGTTGTAAACATGAAAAAGGTCATAAGTCAATTTTTTTCAGTGCTATTGTAACTTTGAACAGTTACTAAATGAACTGTTGTGAATCGAGGACTATCTGTATTGGACCAATAAGGGCTGCAAAGAAAGGCTTATTTCCAGTTACACTCAGAACGTTGCTGCATTGTAAAATAACCTTTGAAAAAGACCCAGAAGCTTCAACACTTACAGATTTGATATTATGGATAGCAAAACTTGAGAAAGAAGACAGCTAGTATTTCATATGGCTTCTTTTAGGGGAAGGAAATGTAAGATAGCAAGAAAAGTAGGGGTGAGTAAACCAAACCGTGAAGTGATATGTTCACGGATACAATTACACATTTACAGAGGAGAACAATTGCACAGTTCAGAATCGCAAAGTAGAAAGCCTTTGTAGAGGTGTGCTTAGCAAGCAGCAGCACCTTGCTAACCTTGGCTGATCTCATAAGCCAAACCTGGTTAGGATTTGGGAGGGGAAAACACATGGGAACTGTAGGCCTGTTAGGTAACGGGAAAATGAATGAAGAAGAAACCTCAATTTATTTAATGCTATATAAGGTCAGCTATGATTAGAGCATCATATAGGCCCAGAAAACAAAATAAAATGAGTCAATTGCATGGATGCCTTCATCAAGGATTGAGCTTAATTGCTGAGTCTCTTTAACTTTCTATTTATATGATCTATCTATTATAGAAAATGTTGTGTACCTAGCCAAGAAAGGAAGTCTAGTTCTGAATAAAGCTGAACATAGGTACCTTCCAATCGCTTAGTTCTGGTGTTGTGATTTCAGCCAATCCGATTCCTTACTTTTTACAAAAAGAAAAGCAAGATTCGAGTGGGGACAATCATATCCTGTTGGGTGATTAGTTCTCCTTTCATTTCAGGGAGAGGACATTTTGGATCGCAGCTCTGAGTTGATCTACACGGGAGAGATGTCGTGGATATATCAGCCTTACGGACGAAGCCAGCAGCGGGTCTTCTTCCTCTTTGATCATCAGATGGTTCTTTGCAAAAAGGTAAGGACATTTTTGACTCTCCTCTGGAGGAACAGTGAATTTGGGTTTGAGACAGGGAAAGCCAGCCTGCATCTCTAGGTCGCACTGGGTCCTGCAACACCCATTTTGCAGCTGTTTTAACAGAACATCAGAATTGGAAGGGACCTTGGAGATCTTCTAGTCCCAATTCCCTGCTCAAGCAGGAGACCCTACACTATTTCAGTCAAATGACTGTCCAATCTCTTCTTGAAAAGCTCCAGTAATCTTTGTTGCTCTTCTCTGCAAAGTCTCAACACCTTTTTATATTGTGGCAATATCTAAAATCTTGAGCCACTGAAATGGTGCAGCCTCCCCAGGTGGAGCAGACAGGAAACATGACCAGCTGAGCTGATTCTAATTTATTGTAAGGCTACATCAACAGAATCTTGCAAGCCTGAAAGTATAAACCTTCCCCCATCTCTTTTACAGCCTGAGAAGTTACTGAGGTTTCTTTCTAAGTTGCTTTCTTTGCTTGTTATGCAGCTATGGGCCATGGCCTTGTCTCCGATGGTCATTCTCACATACTATTACAAATGGTCCTTGCCGAAATAGTCAATCCTTCGGGGGCTAATTCCCCTTCTCCAAATGTGATCTGAATCAGAGCAAAACATTTTGATCATGCTTAGTGGGGTGATGTTGTGGTGGCCTTATAGCACCTGCTGTGATCTTGGGATTTTTTGAAAAAGTATTTTCCTTCTCCGAAAAGATGGTCACCCCTCTTAGATCAAAGACCAGCCTTCCTTCTTCTTGTTCAGTTGCTAAGTCATTTCTGATTCTTCGTGACCTCCATGGGCTATCGCGGGCCAGGACCTCCACTGCCTCCCAGAGTTATTGGACACCTTCTGACTTGATGCACTCATCTTCGAGTGTCATGTCTCTTAGCTTTTTGGTTCTGGCCATGGGGTTTTCTTGGCAAGGATGCTGGAGTGGGTTACCATTTCCTTCTCTGGAGGATTACATTTTGTCAGAACTCTCCTCTATGACCCATCCCTCTTGGGTGGCTCTGTGGAGCTTAGCTCATAGCTTCTTTGAGCTGTGCAAGCCCCTTCACCACAACAAGGTAGTGATCCACAAGGGTGTCTAGTCTTCCTTTCAGAGATAGGTTTGAAGTGCACATTCATTGTAAGTGATAAAGGAAAGTATGCTGCTACACGTTGGCTGCTTATCTATTCTCACAAGCCACATTCTCCAGCAAAAAAGAAAGGAAGGAAGAAATGGAATGCATGAGTGTTAAATACAAGCTGAAATTTTCAACAATTCATCAGGAAACTTTTGGTTAGATTCTTGTTTGTCTTAATATTTTAGCTGGTAGTGCGATGACCCCTAGTCTCTCAAAATAACCCAAACCCCAAAACATAGATTAAAGTCCGGTAAGGCCTTTGACTTAACTTCACTGTTTTATTAGGCACAGTTTAAAGTCACAAAAGTAAACAATGAGGCAAAAAGAAAACCAAAACAAACCGCATTGATGAGAGTTCCGAAGCAAGCCAAGATAACGAATCATAAACTCCAGGAAAATAACCGAAAAAAGTCCATGGGAAGAACGCCAGCAAAGATAAACCTCTTTCAAGGTGAACACTAAATTGACTCCTGCAAATTCTAACTGCACAGTTGCAAATTTATATACATAGCTCCCAGCTGCAAGCCACTAGGAGGATCATGGTAATCTCCTCCTGAGTAGACCTCGCTTTTCCCTGATCCTCTCCTCCCTGCGTGACCTAAGATGGATAGGGGATGGGTCTGGATCCTCCTCTGACTGCTCAGCCGGCCTCTGCCCTTCCCCAGCCTCCTCCACCACCTCTGGAGCCACACTCCCACTCCCTGTTGGCTGTTCCTCCTCTTCCTCAGAGTCAGTCTCCACCAGGGGCATGACAGACCCAAACATAATGATTAAATGTAAATAGTATAGTTCTTTCTTGCCAAATCCTAACTGCAATGAAATAATTTGCATGGTTCAGGAGAGATCTTTCCACAAATCCTTTTCTCGTCTTAGGAGCTTTTAATATTGCCACAGTTGGGAACTGCTTTGTCCTAAGGCATACATTCCACTGTCCTTATTGGGATAGTTCCAACCAAATCCACCCACTACTCTCATTTTTGTTTGTTTTGAACCTGAATATCTTTCTTTTAGGCCTCTTCTCCCCTTTGCACCTCAGTCACTGTTACAAACTTGATAAGGCTAACGGAAGATAAAAGTCAGAGCTGGGCATCCATTCTTGTCTTGGGAAACAGACCCTATCTGGATACGCCAGCTGAAAATTTAATTTTCAAACCCTCAGATTAATGGGACCGTCTTGAACTCCAAGGCCTCTGTCCATACTGAATAATGATACAAAGAGATTACATGTCTTGTTCTGACTTCAGAATTTGAACATATTCACGGTCAAAGTGCTGTGAATTTGGGTGGACATAATTGGGTTATGATAACCCCAGAATTTGTCCAGATGTGGAGCATCAGCAACAATGGTCTGGAATGGAAGTCAGAGATAAAAATAGGAAAAACTGGTTTCTCAACAAGGGGGCAGGGGGTGGGGGAATGTCTTCCGTTCTGGTTTTCTTTTATTTTGTTCTATGAAAAGTCTGCCTTTGCCCAGAAGGTGTAAGGTCATCCTGCTATCAAGCAAACAGGATAAGGATGGACTATAATGAGATCATTGTAAGGAGATTGTGGGCATACATTTTAGGTAGGAAGGTATAATAGGACAGTAGATGCTTTCATATGGAAATCCAACACAATATGATAGAATGTAGTAAGGAACTGGATCCCCAGGAGGAAGGGCGTTTATTCCAGAGGAGCAAGAGGCAACTCAGTCCAGCGATCATGTGTGAGAGAAAGAGGGTGGAGACAGTCCCTACATAACAGCCCTTAGAGTATATTGTAGATGCAGATAGTAGACTGGCAAAATGTTGTCTTTGAGCCTGAAACAATAAAGAACTCAGCCTGGGAGGACTGCCAGGCGCCATTCTTGGTTTGAGGTCCAACGCACAATTCCCTAAAAAGACAGAACTGCCGTTGCAAAGTGGCAACCTCCCTGACTGGGTTGCCCCAGTCCATTTCCACGGCTGCTGCTGGGCCATCCCAAAATGAAAATTACTTATACCCACTTGCAACTGAACATTTTTTAGAAGCTACAACTGTACCCTAGGCCCTAAAGCTGCAACTATGCCCTAAAATTCCAGAGCCAAAATTATACCGAACTATTCCTGTTTCAGTGGAGAGTTCTGGTTAATCTCCTCGTCTCCACTCATTTCCATAATGCAGCTGCTTCTTTTTCTCCCAGAAGTGGCTTCGATTGGTAGTTTTGAATTGTTAAATAAGGCAGGAGAAAAGGGTGGGGGGGAAACAGCTCTGCATAGTTGGATGGGTGCCATAGCTCTAAAAACCAACCTCTCACAGTATTAATGGTGACAGGACTAAAATAGTTATCGATCCAGACCAAAGGTCAACTTGCAACTTTCCATCTTCTCATGAATACTAAGTATCTTGGTACTATCCTTTTCTTAACCTAAGATGATATACAGTTGAGAGGTTTTTCCATTGTATTAATAAAAAAAGACTCTGGAGAGAATGCAGAGAACAACAAGAAGAATGGTTAGGGGCCTGGAGGCTAAAACAATATGAAAAACGATTGCAGGAATTGGGTATATCTAGTCTAGTGAAAAGAAGGACCAGGGATGACATGACAGCACTGATCCAATATTTGAGGGCCTGCCACAAAGAAGTGGGAGTCCACCTATTCTCCAAAGCCCCAGAAGGCAGGACAAGAAGCAATGGAGGGAAACTAATCAAGGAGAGAAGCAACCTGGAACTAAGGAGAAATTTCCTGATGGTGAGAACAATCAATTGGCTTGCCTTCAGAAGTCGTGGGTGGTTCCCTCCGTCACTTGGAGGCTTTAAGAAGAGATGGACAACCATTTATCTGAAATGGTGCAGGGTCTCCTGCATGTCCAGGGGTTTGGACTGGAGAACCTCCAAGGTCCCTTCCAACTATTATTCTCTGTTCTATGTTAGGTTGACCTTTCTTCCAAAGCACCCAAAGGCAAGAAGCAACTGATGGAAAACTGACTGAGAAGCAACGTAGAGGCCAGTGAACCAGGAGAATGGCTCCCCTCCAGGGCAAGGCCTGCAAGGTACCTTCCAACACTGTTCATTTGTTCTGTTTTGTTCTTACGGGGTATCTTACATTAGCTCCCTGCAAACAGCAGAAGGAAGCTAACGTATGCCTGACTGTCTTGTTTAGTGCTGTTCCTTTAAAGAAGTAATAATCCATGATTAATTTGGTATAACTAGTCCTGTCCTCGTCTGTTTGTTCTCAAGTTATTCCATGTATCATGCTTCAGTGAATATCAAAGAGTCAACAAGGCTCTAAAAAGACCACAACCAAGATACCTAGTTCATCTCCATTAAGAAAGTAATTCCTTATTTGCATCACAACATGAAAAGGAGTAAGGAAAGAACAGAAAGAAAAGAGAATTAATCATGTTTCCCTCCTCTCCTGCCTAAACCCCTCCCACCAATCCCCATCAATCACATCTCTTAATTTAAATTAAATAATTAATATATGCCAATTAGGTGGCCATGCGCAACTAACAAATATCAGACAAAATATTTCACATTAGTTTTAATTTATGTGTAGTACTTGAACAACAAAGCCACTACTCTTTTGCAATAAGGAATATCTGAAAGAAAGTATTAGAAAATAAGATTTCACTTTAAAAAAAAACTATTTCAAGAATACATACACGGAGAAGATGTTTAGCATAAGAATATTCTACAATTGGGGAGTGGAATATTATATTAAGTTCCTGGCTGATCGAAGCCTGATAAACACGTGATATTATGTACATATTAGAAGTATAATAAAAAAAATAAAACAAAGGCCATTTTATCTCTCTGCAAATGAGACAGCTAATTTTGCCTGATATAGCATAGCTCTGATATATTCATTAAGCCATTTATTACACTAGCGTTAAGTAAAAATGTGTTGGGGAATGGATTGTGAGAATAAGATGTGATTTAACTCAGAAAATTTTTAATATGAGTTTAACCTGCATAGGATTTGTGTTTTATCTGGCTGACTGTGCCGTATACCACAATACGGGTAGTCCTTGACTTATAACTACAATTGAGCCCCAAATTTATGTTGCTAAGCAAGACGTTCGATAAGTAAGTTTTGCCCTATTTAACAACCTTTCCTGCCACTGTTGTTAAGTGAATCACAGCAGCTGTTAAGTTAGTTAGATGTTTGTTAAGTGAATCTGACTTTCCCATTGACTTTGCTTGTCAGAAGGTCGCAAAAGAAAATCTCATGACCCGCTAGGACAACCACATCGTCAATGTCAGTCAGTTGCCAACTGTCTGAATTTTGATCACATGACCACAGGGATGCTGCAACGGACGTAAGTGTGAAAAATGGTCATCAGTCCCTTTTTTTCAGTGATGTAACTTTTAACAGTCACTAAATGAACTGTTGTAATTCAAGAACTACCTAATAATAAAAAATAATTAAAAAAACACCATGGTACACAAGCCACAAAGACAGGCTTCTGAAAAGATGCTCTCAACCAAAAGCAAATAAAAACCAAATAAATCACTCAAGTCCAATTCTTAGCTTCTCCCCCTGGGAAAGAGTTATTAATAGTGTTATGACTAAGACAGCTGACCAAACAGAGCTTCTCCATTCATCTGCCTTCGTGGGAGTGTGGTAGGAAAAAGAGGAGGAGGAGGAGGAGATATCTCCTGTACAGCATTGAATTCCCGGGAAAAGGGAGACTCTAAATGCAACAACAGTTTAGATAAAGACGTGTGAAAGTCCAAGAAAGGAAATAGGAAAGAAACCCTAAGCGTTTTAATAGTAGTAGCTGTAACTAACCAAGGAGGGCGCTCATCCAACATCAGCGCATTGCAGGAGCTTCACACGCATCTGCCCAAGTTAACTTAATCACGGTGGACTCAATGGGGAAGGGTGGCCTTCAGCTAAAGAAACCCCTGAATTTCCTAATGAGCAATGCCACGCCCCCCGCAAAATGTCTCTCATGCAGACATCAAAGCAACAGGGCTTGGAGGGGGTGGGTAAGCCATTCCCCAGTGAAAATGCAGGGCATAAATTGCCTATGCAAATAACTACATAAATCCCCAGAGGTCAGCTGTCAGAAAGTGAGTGCCTGATCTGCTCTGAAGTCTTGCACTGAGCCATAGGCAGAAGTGAAATATTGGAAGGAGGGCCACCTACCTCCCAATCCAGGACAGATGCCTGCCACTGAGCGATCTTGTCTATGTTCTCCAGTCTCCTCTTCCGCTCGTTGATCTGCTGGGTCACATTCCTCATGACAGCAAGCGCAGCGGCCACGTATCGGTAGTCACTGGGGAGAAAAAAGGGATGGAGGAAGAGCCTGTAAAATCACAGAAGTGATGGAACAATGGTGACGTCGCCTGGGAACATGATGAGGTGCTCATGGAAAATTGGATCAAACCATCTAAGCCTAAGGGAGCCATTCCAGTAGGCAGAGGTTCTTTGGTGTCTCCCAAAGAAGTCTAGCCCTTCAAGTACAAAATTAAACCTGATTACAACAAGAATGATTAGGGAGCTGGAGAATGGCCACAGGAATTGGGTGTGTTTTGTCTAGTGCAAAGAAGGACTAGGGCTGCAGGATAGCACTGTGCCGATATTTGAAGGGCTCCTAAAAAAAAGACAAGAAGGTCAAACTATTTTCCAAAGGGCTAAAAGGCAAGCCAAGAAACAACAAGGGAAACTAACCAAGGAGGGGAGCAACTTAGGTGACAGCAATCAGCCAATGGAACAGCTTGACTTCAGAAGTTGTAGGTGCTCCATTACTGAAGGCTTTCAAAGAGAGACTGGACAAGCATTTATCTGGAATGGTACAGGGTTTCCTGCTCAAGCAAGGGATTGGACTAGACCTCCAAGATCTCTTCCAACTCCATTATTCTATGTTCTACTTTTTTTCACAAGAAGTTTGCCCACTTTGCCTGATCTATGGTCTTCTCTTCATCCCATATGGTTGGCAAATTATCTTTGCACAGAAGTATGGACCCCTGAATTCCAGTTGAGAACTTCTTCACTAGAGCCAGCAAAGGCTGCACACTCCAATGGTTTGTCCTGCTAAAGAATCCTTAGTTATGGTTTCTTGAATAAACCATGCAATGGTGGCTAAGTGAGGTAGCAATTTAGCCAAAGGTCTGGAGGAACTTTCAGACAGATCTCAAACTCAATTCAGATGGGATACAATAAGCTCCTTTATGGTTGTAGAAGTATGTTACAATTATTCTGCAAGTTTGTCCATCGCTCCTGCTCTAATCAGATGACATTTGATGGATTTCTTCAACAGAAAAAAAAATTAGTGACTTTCTCATGTGTAAGTAGAGCATTCGTTTGTTTCAAGAATCTCCACACATATGTCCGGTCTTGAATTATGCAATCCCTTCTTTAGGGCGATATAAATTCTTTGACTTTCTCTACTCCTATTACTCTAAGCCTTTTCGTAGCAGGAAGTGTTAACAACAAGGGAGTCTACAAGAGAGATGGAAAGCCATGTCATGAACACACACAGACAGTGGTAGCATCCATTGCAAGCTCAAACGCAAAACCTTAAAAAGCCCACGAGGAGAAACACTAAAGGAATTCTCATGGAGAATTGAGGCAGTGAGCACCAATAGCCAGAGAAATAATCCAAGTCTGAGAAACAAGGTCCCTTGTCAGTCAATAAGAGCGTTGATTTATCACCAGCTTATCAGATATTTTGGAGCCACAAGGAAACAATAACTACAAGTATGACACACAACCTTACTTTTTATATACATTGCTCACCATTATGTGAAACTGTCTTGCCGCGTCACGTTGCTGTCATGTGACATTTTGCAATGTTTTCTCCATTCGTGGAGCTGGGGAGGGTGGGATTTTTGAGCTTCTGTTACCGCGCTCCTGAGGGGGAATTATTTTCTATGGCTCATTCTTCCTTCTCAACTACTCCTGTTTCTCAATCTAAAGTAGGTTTATGGGATTCTTTCATCCTGACACTTTCCCTTGGGATTCAAAAGGAAGCCAGGAAGCCAAGGTGAATGCAAACTGATGGACAATGATTGCACAGTGAAGGGCAGGTCATTCACATATGCATCCATTTGACCTGCCTGTCACGAGACAAGACTACCCTACTCCACCCAGGAACCTATCGCCAGAGCTGCTCTGAAAGCAAAATCATCAGACCCAAAATGAAAACTAACATAACACAGAATGACACGGAATAGCAGAATTGGAAGGGGCCTTGGAGGTCCTTTAGTCCAACCCCCTGCTCAGGCAGGAAACTGTATACCATTTCAAACAAATGGTGTCCAGTTTCTCCTTGAAAGCCTCCAATGATGAGTCATTCACCAATTCTGAAAGCAAGGCATTCCACTGGCTGATTGTTCCCACCCTTAGGAAATTTCTCTTTAGTAACTAGTAAATAACTTAGCAACCAGGAAGAGATGTGGGAGTTTCCAAGAAGTTTCCAAGCGCTGCCCCTCCGAGAAGGGTTGGCCATTCCTCCTCTCCCAACGTTGACAAACACCTCAGCATTTCCGACAGGATCCCAACAGGGGAACCTGGGCAGAGAGAGCCTGTTACATTTCCCCATTCAAAGAACTGCTCATTTTAGCAGGAGGGTTGGCTGTGGGCCTCCCACAAACACCTGGTGTGTTCCCACTCAGCATTATGTCAGAAAAATGCCACATCAGGTCCTGCCAAGAAGCTCCTTTGTTATTTCTGGCTGTGTTGCCACCACCTGAAGTGCTGTTGCACACAGAAGAGTAGAAGGAGCAAGGGGAAGGAAGGAAGGGCGCAAGATTTACACCATCTGCATAGAAACCACTGTTCCTTCGTGTTCTCTCCCCACTTTGTATCCTTTCTTCTATATCAGTGGGTGTTAGTTTTAATGTTCTCCTTAAAACTTTGAATAAAATTTATATCCCAAAGGTGCTTTTCCAAAAACCAGCTGGACTTTCTGGTTGTTGTTTTTGTTGTTTTTTGAAAACGTTTCACTTCTCATCCAAGTAGCTTCTTCATTTATTCAGAAGGGTTTTCACAGGAAAAAAACCGAGAGAGTCCAGCTGCCTTTTGGAAAAATCACCTTTGGGACAACCATGACCTGGATCGTTGGGAAACTCCATAGACAAATAAAATTTATGGTTTTTTTAATATATTGAACGCACAGAGAGGCTGAAAGATAAGATGCAACAGAGATCATAACCAGCAGAAGTCGATGACTGGCTTCCTACAGCTCAAGTCCAACCAGGGTTTACAAATCACAGTTTCTACAGTCATATAACACAGAAAGTCACCCTGCTCCCCCAAATCAGGCCATCAAGCTGAGTCCAGGTGGCGGAGTGGTTAAGGTTATGGAACAGGAGTGGGAGATTGGAGCCAAAATCCTCTCTCAGCTGTAGTGGGATTTCTATTGCTGGATTACTTGGGGCCAGTCGAGTTATTTTTGTGGGACGAAAAGGAACGCAGATGACCAAGCTGAGCCCAAGGGTGGGGTCAAAGCACCATCGGCCCTGAGTCCCTACACGCCCACAAGAGATCTAAGTCCAGCCCAGTAGTGCAGATTCTTGTACCGCAAAATTGTCTGAACCTTTCCGGCTTTGTCGACTGGTCAGGGTTGGGGAAGGGAGAGGGGATGGTTCTGCATGATTTGGCTAGCAAATGCACACATTTGTGCAAACAGCAGGCAAGCACGTGGCTCGTGCAAGTGGAGCATGTGCTTCCCTGTTGCTCATGCCAGTGGCAATTCACACTCTCATCTTGACGCTTTCACGACCTGGTTGCAAACAGCTCACAGCCCAGTAGTGGGCTAGGGCCTGGGGGGCTTGGGGCCCCCTGCTAGAAAGAGCTTAAGATTACAATAAAACTTTATACCCATTTGAACTGCCTGGATCTCCTGATTTCCCTGGTGCTGACAGATCCCTACATAAGCTGTCTCAAGTTCTTGAAGAAAAGGTGGCTTGTAAAGCTCATCAACTGATCAACAAAATGGCTTAATGGAAGGGCTGATTTCATGAAGCGTCATCAGACAAGAGGCTGATTTCATGAAGCTTCTACCCGACAGATCAGTCCACATATAGTTGGTCCTAAACATATGACCACAACCCGGATCAGAATTTCTGAGGCTAAACAAGGTGGCTGTAAGGGGTGCTGCAGACAATTTGACCACATTTTTGCCACAGTTGTTGGGCAAATCACTACAGTTACGTCCATCGCTCAGTAATTAAAGGAATCCGGCTCCCCCCACTGATTTTTACATATTGGGAGCCATCTGGGGAGTGTTGCAAACAGTGATCCTGGGACGCTGCAACCCTTATAAATACTTAGCCAAGAGCCTGAATTTTGATCACGCAACTGTGAGAATGCTGCAATGGTCTTAAGTACGAGACCACTTATAAGTCAGTTTTTTCTGAGCCATCGTAACTGAATGGTCTTTCAACAAATGGCTGCAAGCCGAGGACTAGCTGTATTACTGAATGCTGTCTTATGTCACTAAGCAAACATCATGCACCCAACCCAAATGTCAGTGCTCCCCCATCCCACTGCCTTGCCTCCTAGGGGTGCTGGGAATTGTACTTCAACACTGCCCGGGACCCCTCCTCGAGGGAGATGGGCAGTTTATAAATGAATAAAGTAATCCTGCTCTAGCGAATGGGTAAGATGGTTTCTCTAAACCTATAGGTCACCGGAGGAAGTCGGGTGATCCTCCAGAACTCAGAAACCAGTGTGGACAAATTAGAACATAGAACTTAAAATAATAAAGTTGGAAGGGACCTTGGAGGACTTCTAGTCCAACCCCTTGCTTGAGCAGGAGGCTCCATCACTACAGACAACAGTAGAGACCTTTAAATTTCTAGGTTCTACTATATCACATGACCTAAAATGGACACCTAACATCAAAAATGTCATCAAAATAGCACAACAAAGAATGTTCTTCCTGTGCCAACTCAGAAAGCTCAAACTGCCCAAGGAGCTGCTGATCCAGTTCTACAGAGGAATGATTGAGTCTGTCATCTGCACCTCTATAACTGTCTGGTTTGGTTCTGCAACCCAAGAGGACAGACACAGACTTCAGAGGATAATTAGAAAAAATAATTACTACCAACCTGCCTTCATTCAAGGACTTGCATATTGCACTAGTCAAAAAGAAGGCTGTGAAAATATTTACAGACCCCTCACATCCCAGACATAAACTGTTTTAACTCCTACCCTCAAAATGACGCTATAGAGCCCTTCACACCAGAACAACTACACACAAGAACAGTTTTTTTCTCAAAAGCCATCACTCCGCTAAACAAATAATTCCCTCAACACCGTTCAACTCTTTACAAAGTGTACACTACTATTACTGTTAATCTTCTCACCACTCCTTATCACCCTTCCCCTCCTACTTGTGATTGTAGGACTGTAACCTTGTCCCTTGTATCTTTATGGTTTATATTGACTGTTTCCTGATTGTTTCCTGACTGTTTCCTGATTTGATTGCGGATTGCACCCTATGACTATCATTAAGTGTTGTATCTGATGATTCTTGACTCTTCACGAAGGTCTCTTTTCTTTTATGTACACTGAGAGCATTTGCACCAAGACAAATTCCTTGTGTGTCCAACCACACTTGGCCAATAAAGTATTCTATTCTATTCTATTCTATTCTATTCTATTCTATTCTATTCTATTCTATTCTATTCTATTCTGTACTATACTGTACTATACTATACTATACTATACTATACTATACTATACTATACTATA